CCCCCCCCCCCCCCTCTCTCTATATATATATAAATCTGTATCTCTATCTCTCTCTTACACTCACACAAGGATTCTCTCTCTCTCTCTGCATGTTGCTGCTGCTGCACTCAACCTAAATTTCCAGTCTTTTTTCTTAATCCCTTCATGAAAAACATGTCATCCCTAATTTGTGCTTCATCAAGTTTAGTTTGTCCCCTCTCCGTGGCCTCAAGGTTTGGTTTCGTTCCAATTCCCCTTATTCTGATCTATATTTCTCCATGCTCACTTTCATTTGGGCTCATCTGCACCACACCCAGCCGTCACAGATTCCTCCTGTGCTCTCCAATGCTAAGAGATTAGGTGTCCTGTAATTTATCAGTTCTTTGTCAACTCTATGTTGTTTTTATATGCGGGGTTTGGGTGGTCAATGAAGCAAGAGTAAAGAAAGAAGACCATAAACTTGGGGACCCAAATTTGTGGCAAATGAAGTGTGTGCAAACCTTAGGAGACTTGAGTTCATATTCTAGCGGGGTAAAAATATTAGGTGATTTCTTACCATTTGTTGTGGCCAGCGTTACCTTGTAATTGGGCTGGTGGGAGGTACCAGCTACTCGTGGAACAGTCAAGGTGTGGCGCAAGTTGGCCCGTACACGAGAAATTTGAAATTGTCGTAGTTTCACTGATGCATATGTTGTGTGCTCACCAATTATTTTTCTAGTACGCTTTCTACTTTTGAAATCTCCGCGAACATAAATTTTTGGTAATACACTTTCCTTGATATGCAATATGATAGCTTTATTTGTTAAATAGACGTTCTTTAATTGCTTACTGATTGTATATGAATTCCAGTGTTTCAAATGATTTATACTCTCTATCTCATCTCTTGATTTTTAGAGAAATAGGTAAAAAGTTCCATAGAATTCTCCCCACCCACCATTTAATCAATAGTGCCATAGAAGTCACAATTTTTGCAAACTGAAATTCATTCACCTATGGTAGAATGAGTGTTGCTATGTCATGATTATGTAACTTGCATTGCTTCCTGGCAGATTACATAATGTGTGTGAAAATGAACGCAGAAACGATATATTCAGTTTTGATTAAGCCCAAGAAGTGAACCTGGACACTGTTTTTGTAATCCTGATTTACTTAAGGGTTCTGGGGATAATGGGTGCTGTACTGCTCTAGGAGCATTACCTTTTCCACGGGGGCTATACTGCTTAAAGACTGGTAAATTTCAGCATTTGCAAATTGCTAACTCCCACTTATGCTATTATATATATGTAGGCGAAGGGAGATAAGGACATATGGTGATGTGAAGTCTGCATCAAGGTTTAGCTTCATGGTAACAGCTTGTGGAAATGTTGGACAGGATTAGCAGCTTTGTGGTGATATAATTTAATTGCCCTTCTTATAGCCTGTTTGGCCAGGCTTCTTCCTAGTCCAAAAGTGCTAGGAAGAACACTTTTTTGGGAAGCCTGTATGGCTAAGCTTTTTTTTTTCTTTCAAAAAATACTTTTTTTCTAAACTGGAGGTGTTTGGCCAAGCTTTTTGGGAAAAAAACGCTTTTGGGAAGAAGCAGAAGCACTTTTTGTGAAGCAGAGAAAAGTAGCTTTTCCCCATAATCAGAAGCAGTTTTACTTTTCTTTTTATCGAAAATACCCTTAGCAAAATGTAGTATATTCCAAAATAACCTTATTCTAAACCTAATACTTGGGATATTAATCTATAAATATTTTTTCTTACTTTTAGGATAGCCTTCTAATATATAGTGACTTCTGGGGTGAATGTTTTTATATTTGTTGAATAATTTTTTGATATATTTAAATCATCTTGAAAGAATTAAAGTACTTTTTAATTTTATTTTCATATTTTATTTAAATAAAATAAAAAAACTTAATTATTATCTTTAATAATAAAATTTTGAATTTTTTTGTTTTGTCACATAATATTAACTATTAAGTAAATCTCTTCATGTCATAATTCTTAATTTGATACTTAAAAATATTTTTTGAAAAGTTTGGTCAAATACAAATTATTATTCAAAAGTGCTTTTTAGATTGATTAGCCAAACATAAACTGCTTCTCTTCAAAAGTACTTTTTCGCAAAACACTTTTGGAAAAATCACTTTTCGAATATTTTTCTAACTTGGCCAAACAGTCTATTAAGTTTTTGGCCATGTTAAAGTTATGTTTAAGATGTTATAATTAACTGAAGATTTGGTCGTTTAAGGTGGAGGAATTGCTCCATTTAATTTTCTGGTGTTTTTATTGGGCGATGTGCACAAATAGCCACTAACGGCTCATGTCTTTATTTTAAAGCCAGTGTTTTAAATGTCTTTAGTCTTTAGCCACTGGTTTAATAAACTTTAACTGTCTGGACGAAAATACCCTTCTGCTCATGTCCTTAACTTCAGGACTTCAGGACTACATGTCCTTAACTTTTGAACTTAAACTCTAAGTTCAGGACTTCAAGACTACATGTCCTTAACTTTTTAAGCTGTAACTCTAAGTTCAGGACTTCAGGACTACATGTCCTTAACTTTTGAACTTGGAACTCTAAGTTCAGGACTTCAAGGTTACATGTCCTTAACTTTTGAACTTGGAACTCAAACTTCAAGACCAAGCGTCCTTAACTTTTGAACTTGTATGTCAAAGTTAAGGACCTATTGTCCTTAACTTTTGAACTTGCTTGTCCTTAACTTTTGAACGTGTAACTGTAAGTTAAGGACTGTCTGTCCTTAATTTTTGAACTTGTAAGTCAAAGTTAAGGACTTATTGTCCTTAACTTTTGAACTTGTAACTGTAAGTTCAGGACCTATTGTCCTTAACTTTTGAGCTTGTTAGTCTAAGTTCATGACCAAGTGTCCTTAACTTTTGAACTTGTAATTCTAAGTTCAGGACCAAGTGTCCTTAACTTTTGAACTTGGAACTCTAAGTTAAGGACCAATTGTCCTTTATACATCCAAGATGTGTGTATTTTCCTAGATGATGGTAGTGGGTGGTAACAGAATAGGCACACAAATGGTAAAACACATTGCACTCTGTAAAGTATAAATAAGTTAGTTAAACAATATTATCCAATTCTAAATTCATACGATGAAAAAGAAAAAGGGGACTTTGAAAGTAATAAATCATTAGCAACAATCTATTCTCAGTTTAACAAATATATATAAAAGTAACGAACCTTCTCCAGTAATCCATGGTATAATCAACAGACAAATTATCAGAAAAACCGTCCAGCTATGATTGGAAGTTTCAAATACATTATACAAGTGAGCACTTTCCATTGCTTAGAAGGAAGGGTAAAACAGTCTTTTTCCTATTAGTAGTGGCTATTTTTGCTGAGCATTATAATTAGTGGATAAAAATTAAAGACACCCTTAATTAGTGGCTACTACACGCCATTTTTACGTTTTTATTTGGGTGGAGCCTAATCGGTATTCCTTTCGTTGGGTGAATCTTGAGACTCCTGGTCATCGCTTGTTCTGTTGCCATTATAAACATGGCTATACTAAAATGTTAACAAAGAAACTTGACAAGGGTATGCTTAATAAAAAAATTGTAAGTAAAGTGTTGCTCTCGAACGCACACGCAAGTATACGTGGTCGACAAGTAATATAGGATTGTAAGTTCAGATATCATACTCACAAGGACTTGTGATAAACTATCAAGTAAATTAAGCCCAAACAATTAATCTATTCAAGCGATTTTCTAAAGGGTGAATTTTTAATTAAAACTAATCTAGAGTAAAAAACTAAAAGATAAAGGAAACAAGTTTGTAATTTTATAGATAAATTCAATAGGAGAAAATATGCTAGAGCTATGGGTTAGCTAACAATCCCGTTGAGTTTTCTACTTAAATTGTCTAATTAATTTATCTGGTTTGTTGGTTGACAGTGTTAATATTACTTGTAAAATTTTCTTGAAGTACTACTCGCCTATTCAAGCTAACCTGACGCCTATATTCCTATGGAATTAGGATTAACAAGAACGCATTAATAATTCCTGTATAATAATCAAGCAAAGCGATTAGGTATATCCCTATCTTAACCGCAAATCCGTTCCTGATGCTCAGGTTCAAGATTTTGCTATACTCAATCTTATATGCAATCTAACATTTCTTCTCCCGAGTTCAATCCTAGATTCGTAGATAGTATTCAATTGGTAATCAAATAATTAAGCACAAGATTGAATAAATAAATCAATATGATAAAAAGAGCAATTCAAGTTTCAAACTAAAACGTTCATGTAGCACCCCACAACTCTAGAGCTAATAAACTATGAAATTAAAGGAAGAGAAGAGAAGAAAAACTAGTTGGATGCCTCCTCCAAGCGTGGTTTATGTTCTCCCCTCTAAAGTAGCGTGTCTCCTCCCAAAAATATGTTAGATTCTCCAATTAGGTTTAGAGCCCCTTTTATACGAGTAGGATCGTGTAGAGTTGTCCCGAACGAAGTAGGAGAGTACCACGTCACCCAGGTTCAGGGCACCGTGGGGCGCTAGCCCTGGTGCAGAATGCAGTAGCGTTTTCACACTCAATCCCATTTTTCACTTCAATGCCTTGGTTTGGATTTCACTCCTTTATTTTTCTTGTCTACCACTTGGGGGGACAAACACCAAAGGGTGTTCCCCTTTTCTTCTTCTTTTTTATTCGTTTATTTTCCTTCTTTTTTTCTTCCGTATTTTTCAGTTTTGCTCCAAATCTCTTCATCGTGTCACTGCTTTTTTCTACACAATTAAAATATAATATTAAGCATAAAATAATATAATTAATACTCAAAAGATATTTAAAAGTGATATAATGTGAGGCAATAATGGTTAAATATATGCATTTTTTTACCGATCAACATAAAGTAAGAGCCACTTGAATTGAACAAAAAAAGAAAAAAAAATAATTGCATGTTATGAACGAGATTCATTGATAAGTGGTACCTCTTGATTTGGTGCTTAAATAATTTGGGGAGTTAATGCATGTTAATGCCAAGGTGGAGTATGGGTTGACATAAGTGTGGGGTTTTGAATGTAAAAGTGTATGTATTAAAGTGCTTAGGGATGTGTAGTCACTCTTATATCTAAATGTATTCTACCCGTCCGGCAGCCTACATTACAACAAGTTAAAAGTCCTACTTGATCCTTGACTGAATGAGCTCAATTAGTAGAGTAGTACACTACGGGCAAGCCTATGGTGCATCTTTTGTGGCATATGAATGTTGTTTCTGAGAGTGAGTGAATTCTTTCTATTTGAAGTTCCTAATCGTTCTTAAATTTTATTGTGTGTGGAGCTACTCTCTTTTGTTGTGTGAGGGCACATGATTTATGAAGGAAGGGTAATGTAGTTGACCTCTGTGTTAGAGTAAGTGAGTGAGTTGTGAATAATGCATGGTACTTGTGAGTCAATTCTTGAGGTGAAGATGTTACACTATTGTGCTTAGTCTATTTTAAAAATTCTTGGTGTGATGAGTTAGGAGAGTTGCTTAATAAGGTTGTGTCTATATAAAGTGTGGTTTGATTGCTCGAGGACGAGCAATGGTTTAAGTGTGGGGTGTTGATGGGAGGCTATAATTGTGTATTTTGGCCACTAATTGCACTCTAAGTTGCTGCACTTTACTAATGTTTGAGCTTTAAATGGTATTAATCTGCACTGACTATGTATTTTATACTTCGCAGGAGCGATCCCGGACTACAATGAGGTGAGGGGGCATTTTTAGCTAGTATGGAGCTTTGAAGGCTAAGTAAAAGCTTATGGAGTAATTTGGGATTATGTTCGAGGATCAAAGGACATTAGCGCACTCAAAAAGAAGAATGAAGAAGAGAGCAGAAAGTTGCCTAGGTGCACGGCCGCGCACTGGGTGCGCATGACAAGCAGACACTGGCCAAAGTGCGCGGCCATATGCGTGGTCACCTGCCCAGGTGCGCGGCCGTGCACGTTTGTCCGGAAAATTTTTCCAAGGCTAATTTAGTAATTTCGGAGGCAGCTTCCCTTGACCTATATTGAGCCCAGCTCGTCTAAAAAGAGGGTATTAAGGATTTTGAGAGGAACTTGGGAGGGAGAAGAAGGAGGGAAGCAACGGGAAAGCAAGATACTTGATCCAATTCACTCAAAATGAAAGTTTGTTTGAATTTAGGAATTGTAATGTCTTCTTGTTCTTCTAATATTCTTGCTATGAATAATTTCTCCGTTATGGAGTAATTCTCCGTAGGGTTATTGGCGGATGTTGTGAATTGACCATTGTTTTAGGTGTAACTCTTTGTTAATTGTCCGAATATATTGAATGAGTTACTAATTGAATTGCAAGGCTACTGTAGTTTTACTTTAGTCGAAAGAGAAGTTTTGTTGCTATTTGCCCTGTATCATCTTATTTGGGTTGATTTTACGTCTCTTATAGGTAATCGAAAGAGCTTTAAGAGTTATCGACTAACCTAGTTCAGAAGAATAACTGAGAGGTGTTCTTTGAAAGATCGTTCATTCAATATTTTAGTGCATATGTTCATAGGACTTATTGTTAGGCCAATTAAAGGAATCAAATTTATTCGGAAGAAGAATTTGAACCCCTGAAGTGGCTTAATCATCTGTTAAAATCGAAAGAGTCAACAGAAGTTAAGAGTGAATTTAGTATAGAGTTGCCCGGAACACTAGTTAATCACACATCTTGTCATCACCCTTATTTCTCGCACTGATATTCATCGTTGTTACTAATCATTAGGGTATCATTAGTTTCCTACAGTTGGTAATATTAGTTTTATTTGTAGTAGATAATAACATCAATCAAAAGGTTTATTATCCTGCATAGTGTTGAGCTGAAGATTTAATAGGGCATTATTGAAACAAATCCCTGTGGAGATGATTAAATACAATACTATCTTTGACTAGCGAGCCTACGTTTTATACATAGGTTTTGTGCTCGTCATACCACAACCCAGTTAAGCACATTAGCTCAAGTCAGTCTGAAGATCCTCCCTTTTATTTAGTCAAATAAGCCTTAGAGCCAAATTCCAACATTCGAAATCCTCTACCAGTCCTGCTTTCAGCATACGAACACCGTATCAGTCATTACACCCTGCACCAAAACATGATTTTATACCCTTACTGAATTCACACCATGCACCGCATAATCCACATGACCATAATAACATCCTCTGACAATAATAGCCGCAATTCCAGGAATCCATTGCCCACAACACACCTCATGACGAATGTACATGTAAGTCATGTTCCAACTCTCGCAATTCTACCACGATGGAAGAGATATGTAGAAATT